AGGACTTTGGAACCTTTTGTGGTGTTCTTGCTATTAGGTTGAGAAAGTATAATCTGTTGACTTAAAGGCAGAGTAAATATTTTTAGGAGTTTATTGGTGTCCCATTAAAGGAAAGAATGAGAACTGTCTTGATTAGGGAAACGTGATGACGTTACTTTAAACATATGTTAAAGACAGATCAGAAAAGTTCCCAAACAGGAGTATTTGTAAGACTTCTCTAGCATGCTTTCAGTAACAGAAGCAGATACACCATTTTATTGTGTAATTACTGAGAAAAATTCACTGGTAGTTTTCCCTACACACAACCAAATAGAATAAACAGAGCTCTGAAATGGGAACTTCCATTTCATTTTTGACAGTGTTTCCCTCAACTCTGAAGACAAAACCCCTTTTACAACTCTGAGCTCATTTTCAAATATTAGGGTTTCCCACATGGGTGTTCTAAGTAAATTTGAAAATGTCTTGCTGTTTATATTAAAGAACTCTGGAGACAAATATCAATGAGATGGAAATTTCTATCCTAAAGTTTAGCATATGGTCTAGAATTCCCAGACAGTTTACCTTAGAAAAACACACACACATACGCGTGCACATGTGCATGCACGCACACGTTTCTGATTTAAACAGTATCTTAAGAAATGGAAATGTAAAAGATGCCTTTATAGGTTTTTTTTTTTTCCTTCTATTTGTGTCTAACCCTTGTCATACTCTGCCAGCTAGGGATGTTTAAAGAAACTTATTTTTTTTAAGTATTTTAATTTCAGTTTCAGGTGTACAGTATAGTGATTCAGCACTTTCATATATCACCCAGTGCTCATCATAGCTCATTAAGTGTATTCCTTAATCCCCATCACCTATTTCACCCAACCCCCATCCGCACCCTCTGGTAACCATCAGTTCTCTATAATTAAGAGAGTTTCTTGGTTTGTCTTTCTCTCTTTTCTTCCCCCTTGCTTGTTTGTTTTGTTTCTTAAATTCTGTGTAGGAGTGAAATCATATGGTATTTGTCTTTCTCTGACTGACTTACTTTGCTTAGCATTATACTCTAGCTCCAACCGTGTTGTTGCAAATGGCAAGATTTCATTCCTTTTATGGCTGAATAATATTCCATTATGTGTGTGTGTGTGTGTGTGTCTGTGTATATTGTGTATGTATATACATATATATATATACACATATATACATATATATATACACACACACACACACAACATCTTTATTCATCAGTCAGTGGATGCATCAGTTGCTTCCATATCTTTACTATTGTAAATAATGCTACAATAAACATAGGGGTGCATGTTATACTTTTGAGTTACTGTCCCTGTATTCTTTGGGTAAATGCTCAATTGTGCAATTGCTAGATCATAAGGTAGTTCTATTTTTAACTTTTTTTTTTTTTTAAGATTTTATTTTTCACGAGAGACAGAGAGAGAGAGAGATGCAAAGACAGAAGCAGGCTCCATGCTGGGAGCCTGACATGGGACTCAATTCCAGGTCTCCAGGATCAGTCCCTGGGCTGAAGGCGGTGCTAACCCGCCGAGCCACCCGGGCTGCCCTATTTTTTAACTTTTTGAGGAACCTCCACACCATTTTCCACAGTGACTGCATCAGTTTTCATTCCTAACAACAGCGAATGAGTGTTTTTTTTCACTATATCCTTGCCAACACTTGTTGTTTCTTGTGTTGTTGATCTTAGCCATTCTGACAGATCTGACATGGTATCTCATTATAGTTTTGATTTGCATTTCCCTGGTGGTAAGTGATGACGAATATCTTTTCATGTGTCTGTATGTCACATCATTGGAAAAATGTCTGATGTATGTCATCATTAGAGAAATGTCTGATCATGTTTTCTGCTCATTTTTTAATTGCATTATTTATTTCTTGGCTGTTGAGTTGTATAAGTGCTTTATATATCTTGGATACTAATCCTTTATCAGATATGTTATTTGTGAATCCCTTCTCCCATTCTGTAGGTTGCCTTTTAGTTATGTTGATTGTTTCCTTCATTGTGCAGAAGATTTTTATTTTGATGTAGTCCCAATATTTTATTTTTTCTTTTGGTTTCCCTCACCTCAGGAGACATATCTAGAAAGAAGTTGCTATGACTGATGTCAGAGAGGTTACTGCCTGTTCTTTTCCATGATTTTTATGGTTTCAGGTCTCACATTTAGGTCTTTAAGTCATTTTGAATTTATTTTTCTGTATGATGTAAGAAAAGGGCCCAGTTTTATTCAAAAGAATATTGCTGCCCAGTTTTGTCAACATCATTTGATGAAGAGACCATCTGTTTTCCATTGGATATTCCTTCCTGGTTTGTTGAAGATTAATTGACCATATAATTGTGGGTTTATTTCTGGACTTTCTGTTCTGTTCCATTGAACTATGTGCCTGTTTTTGTGCTAGTACCATACTGTTTTTTTTTTTTAAGATTTTACTTATTTATTCATGAGAGACACAGAAAGAATGGCAGAGATATAGGCAGATAGTCCTAATGCAGGACTCAATCCCAGGACCTCAGGATCATGACCTGTGCCAAAGACAGACGCTCAACCACTGAGCCACCCAGGTGCCCCTACCATACTGTTTTGATTGCTACAGCTTTGTAATATGACTTGAAGTCTGGAATTATGATGCTTCCAGCTTTTTTAAAATTTTTATTTATTCATGAGAGACACAGAGAGAGAGGCAGAGATACAGGCAGAGGGAGAAGTAGGCTCCATGCAGGGAGCCTGATGTGGGACTCAGTCCCGGGATCGCGGGATTATGACCTGAGCCAAAGGCAGACGCTCAACCGCTGAGCCACCACGGGGTCTCTGTTTTTCTTTTTGAAGGTTAGTTACTTTGGCTATTCAGGGTCTTTCATGGTCTCATACAAATTTTGGATTACTTGTTCTAGTTCTGTGGAAAATGTTGTTGATATTTTGATAGGGATTGCATTAAGTATGTAGGTTGCTTTGGGTATTATAGACATTTTAACAATGTTTGTTCTCCTAGTCCATGAGCATGGAATGTCTTTCCATTTCTTTGTGTCAGCTTCAATTTCTTTTATCATTGTTTTATAGTTTTTAGAGTATAGGCCTTTCATCTCTGGTTAGGTTTATTCCTATGTATCTTATTATTTTAATGCACTTGTAAATGGGATTGTTTTCCTAATTTCTTTCTGATGCTTAATTATTGGTGTATAGAAATGCAACAGATTTCTGTACATTGATTTTGTATCCTGTGACTTTACTGAACTTGTTGATCAGTTCTAGTAGTTTTTGGTGAAGTCTTTTGAGTTTTCTGTGTATAGTATCATGTCATCTGCAAATAATGAAAGTTTTACTTCTTTATCCATTTACATTCCTTTTATTTCTTTTTACTGTCTGATTGCTCTGGCTAGGACTTCCACTTCTATGTTGAATAAAAGTGGTGAGAGTGGACATCCTTGTCTTCCTCCTGACCTTAGGGGAAATGCTCTCAATTTTTCCCCCTTAAGGATATTAGCTGTGGATATTACATAGATGGTCTTTATTATGTTGAGGTATGTTCCCTCTAAACCTGCTTTGTTGAGTTTTTAATCATGAATGGATGTTGTACTTTGTCAATTGCTTTTTCTGTGTCCCTTGAAATAATCATATGGTTCTTATCCTTTCTTTTATTCATGTGATGTATCAATCACTGATGTAATCAATTTGTAAATACTGAACCACTTGCAACCCAGGAGTAATTCCCACTTATGGTGAATGGTTTGTTTAATGTATTATTGAATTCAGTTTGCTAGAGTTTATTGAGAACTTTTGCATCTATATTCATCAGGAATACTGGCCTGTAGTTCTTTTTTTTAGTGGTGTCTTTATCCGATTTTGGTATCAGGATAATACTGGCCTCAGAATGAATTGGGAAGTTTTCCTTCCTTTTTTATTTTTTGGAATAGTTTGAGAATAGGTATTAACTGCCTTGAAATGTTTGGTGGAATTCGCCTGTAAAGCCATCTGGTCCTGGACTTTTGTTTGTTGGGATTTTTTTTGATTATTGACTCAATTTCTTTGCTGGTTATCAGTCTGTTCAAATTTTCTAGTTCTTCCTGTTTCAGTTTTTGTAGTTTATATGTTTCTAGGAATTTATCTATTTCTACTGGGTGGTCCAATTTATTAGCCTATAATTTTCACAGTATTCTCTTAGGATTGTATATCTGTGGTGCTTGTTATTTCTACTCTTTCATTTGTGATTTTATTTGAGTCCTTTCTCTTTTTTCCCTGATAAGTCTGGCTAGAGGTTTATGAAATGTATTGATTTTTTTCAAAGAACCAGCTCCTGTTTTCATTGATTTGTTCTATTGTTTTTTCCAGTCTCTATATCATTTATTTCTGCTCTATCTTTACTATTCCTTTCCCTCTGCTGGTTTTAAGTTTTGTTGTTCTTTTTCTAGCTCTTTTAGGTACAAGGTTCAGTTGTTTGAGATTTCTCTTGTTTCTTAAAGTAGGCTGTGTTGCTATAACCTTCCCTCCTAGAACAGCTTTTGCTGTATCCCAGAGGTTTTGGAGTGTTGTGTTTTCATTTTCATTTGTTTCCATATACTTTTTTATTTCTTTTATTTCCTAATCAACTCATTCATTGTTTAGTAGCACGTTATTCAACCTCCACCTATTTTTGGCCTTTACAGATTATTTTAAAGAAACTTATTTAAGTTATGTGTATTACAGTGGCTTTAGAGTGTCAGTTCCCATCAGTGCTATGCATCGAGGTTTCTGTTTAAAATCTATGGTTGTTCCATCTAAATATCTCTTTCTGAAGTAAATCTCTCATATGAACAGGAATCTGACTAATTGTCATGTGATTCAAAACAGGTAGAAATTACTTTTTAAGGAGAGAGTGGTCCCAATTTGCAAAGTGGCAAACCAGGTATAAGTACTATATAATAATATTTGTATTCAGCAACTACTTGACAGTTTTCAGAAACTTTTCATGAATGCCACCTCATTGATGCTTACAATAATTCTATTTTGTAATTATAGCACTTTTTGTTGAAAAGACTTTTCTTTTGAATTGCTGCTGTACCCTTGTTAAAAATCACCTGACCAAGCTTATAGCATATTAAGAAGTAATATATATGATATATTAACACAAAGGATGGGGAGGAAATGGAGCTATATAGAAACAAAGGAAATGACATCAGAGAGTAACTTGAAGAAATGAAGAGTACCAGAAGTATTAAATATGTAAGTTAACATTTTTTATCCTTTTTCCTCTTTTTTAAAAGATGTAAGATTGTATAAAGCAATAATTGTAACATTGTATCACTGAGTTTATAATGTATAGACACGAAGTCTATGACCATAATAGCACAAAGGAAGGAGAAAGGAATGAAACTATATTGGAGAATTAAGTATTAATCTGAGGTAAATGATGATAAATTAAGATGCATATAATAATTTCTGGAACTACTACTTAGAAACTCAAAAAAAGTACAGTTAAAAAAACACAAGGAAATTAAAATAATGCACTAGAAAATATCTATTTAATAAAAAAGAAAGTGGTAAAAATGAACAGAGAAACGAGAAAGACATGTTATATATAGAAAACAAATAGCAAACTGGCAGATATAAATCAATAATATCAATATTAATTTTAAATATGAATGATGAGGCACTTAGAGTCAAAGGGCAGAAATTATAAGATTAGATATAAAAACAAGATCCAACTATATGCTCTCTGTAAGAATCACACTTTACATTCAGAAAAAATCAATTTTGGAAAAGTTTCAGTGATCTTTTTCTACACTGCTAGCATCTGAATGTGTCCCCCAGATTTCATATGTTGAAATCCTAACCCCCAAAGATGATGATATTAGGAGGTGGGACCTCTAGGAGGTCAAGTCGTGAGGGTAGAGTTCTCATAAATAGAATTAGTGCCTTGTAAAGAAACCCATGAAGATTCCTTGCCTCTTCCAACATGTAAGGACACAGTGAGCTGGCTTTGAAACAGGAAGAGGACCTCTACCAGAATAAGCCCTTGCTGGTACCTTGATCTTGGACTTTCCAGCCTTCAGAACTGAGACATAAATTTCTGTTGGCTAGAAGCTACCAAGTATGAGATATTTTGTAATAACAGCCTGAATGTATTTTTTTTAAAGATGTTGATTTATTTTATTTTTATTTATTTATGATAGGCACACAGAGAGAGAGAGGCAGAGACATAGGCAGAGGGAGAAGCAGGCTCCATGCACCAGGAGCCCAACGTGGGATTTGATCCCGGGTCTCTAGGATTGCGCCCTGGGCCAAAGGCAGGCGCTAAACCGCTGCGCCACCCAGGGATCCCCTAGCCTGAATGTATTAAAGACCTATACCATTCTCTTTCCTTTCCTTCTGTAATTCCATTTACACATATGTTAAACTGATACTGTACCAAAGGCCTCTGATGTACTTTTTATTATTTTTTTTTATTGGAGTTCAATTTGCCAACACAGAGCATATCACCCAGTGCTCATCCCATCAAGTGCCCCTTCAGTGATGTACTTTTTAAAATTGTTTCTCTTTGACTTCAGTTAAGTTTTCTGTGACCTCTTTTCAACTTTACTAAATCCTTTCATTAGTCTGATTCTAGTCTATCATTTAGCCTAGTCAATACTTTGAGAATACATATATTTTTAATTTTAGAATGTCTATTTTCTTTAGACTTCATTTTTCTACTTAAATTTTTATCTTGTTCCTCATCTTGTCTTTTTTCTTCAATGCTATAACATATTTATAATGCTTATTTTAAGAGTCTTTAGCTATTAATTCCAAACCATATCTCAGTTTTTCAACAACCTTAGTTTTTCTGAAAGTCTTATGTTGATTTTTTGCTCTTGATTATTAGATACCTTTTCTTGCTTCTTCACATAGCTTAGAATTGTTCACTGTATCCAGATATTGTTTATAAATTAGAAATTGATGTTGATGCTACTCTATGCTCCCCAGGAGCTTATCCTTGCCTCTCTCTGGCACGTAGGGTCAGGGCCTGACTTATTCTAATCAGAAGTCAAGATGAGTCGTGGCTGAGTTGCAGCTTTAGTTATCCCAGTTTTCTTCTGGTTTCAGATGTCTTGAGAATGGGATCAGACTTTTCTCTTCAGGGCTTTGTGATGAGAGCTTGCTGGCTATTTCCAAGTCCCTTCCTCTGCTTCTCATGCTGTCACTGAAATGCAGAATAAGTTCCATAAGGGAGAATTGGTGAACTAGAGGGATCTGTGTCCCTCCAGATTTCAGTCCTCCATACTCATTCATGTATGGCTGTTACAAGTATTGATGGTTCTCTTTGTCACAGTTGAAGATGCTTGCTCATGACTGACTCCGGCTTCTCACCCCTGTGCCCACACTTAGCAGTTTCCCTCAGGGATAGAACTGGTTTATCTCTTGGTTTCTACTTACCTGGGAAGGGCTCACTTCTCATTTCCTTTAACCTTCTTTGGGTTTACATTTCTTTTATGTCTTTAAAGAAAAATGTCATATTTTTAAGCAAGTTGGGTATTCTTTTTTTATTGTGGTATTAATAGTGGTCTTTGATTTCTTATACATTCTAATTAGAAGTAAAACCTCCTCCTGCTCTGACTTTTGAATAAATGATATTGGGGAAAAAAAGTACACTGCCCTGATGATCATTTCTTACAATTCTTATTTTTAACTTTTTTCACAGTATAGAGTAGGGATCAGCAAACCTTTTCTGAAAGGGCCAACTAAGAAATATTCAGGCTTTATGGACAAAGTGGCAAAATTGAGGCTATTATTATACAGGTAGTTATATGACCATTTCAGATATCCCATTTAAAGATCTAGAGACCAATCTTAGCTCAAGGGCCAAGTTGCCAAGTTCTGGCATAGAGATGAGTGATAAAATAATTAAAAGGTTTAATGAACAAAAAGCAAGCAAATATCAGATACTTTTAAGAAATTAAATTCTAGGAAGTTCTTTGGTACACCATCTACCATGATATCTGTAGTAGTAAGTACCACAAGTGATAATCCTGATCTGTCAAGACAAGTTGAACTTTTATTTGGTGTAATAGAATTACATAATAATAAACTTTATTTGTCAACAGTGATATTTAGCCATATAAAATCTTTAGTCAAAAAGCCTCACTCATTCATTCTGCCCAGGTATTCTACTAGAATACTGGGCATATTGGGGAATTTTTTTTTTAAACTTTGACATTCAAATGGATGTAATCCAGTGGAAAACAGACACTTAAAAGTATAAATGCAAGGTAGTTCATACCATAATCTAGGTTTGCAAAATGTTTCTCTGTAGGGTAAGGTACGTAACTTTGCCTAGAGTTTGGGAAAGGTGAAGGGAAGAATTAGGAGAGATGATGGTGCTTTCCTAACTTGAAAAGGAATTAAGACTTCGCCAGGTGGACAGATTTGTACATCCAGTAAGTGTTGCCTGACAGTTATGCTTAACAACTAAAGTATTACCATATTGTTGACTTGACTCACTCAAGGTCATTTTAGAAATGGTTGGACTGTGAGGGAAAAAAAAAACATATTCTCTCCTTATACCATTACGTGCCTATGTAAACCTAAATGAGAGGTAGTAGGTAAGCAGCCTTTTGCAACTGTTTTAACAGCCCACATTATAAAGTGACAAATTATAAAGTGTGTATGTGTGAGAGAGACATACTATAAAGTGATTAAGTGATACTTTAGCAAGAATAATTTAGTTTAAGAAGTTATCCAGAAGTTTACTGCTGCTTTTATTTTTATTTTTTATAAATATATTTTTTAATTTTTATTTATTTATGATAGTCACACAGAGAGAGAGAGAGAGGCAGAGACACAGGCAGAGGGAGAAGCAGGCTCCATGCACCGGGAGCCCGACGTGGGATTCGATCCCGGGTCTCCAGGATCGCGCCCTGGGCCAAAGGCAGGCGCTAAACCGCTGCGCCACCCAGGGATCCCTACTGCTGCTTTTAAATCCCTGGAATCTCTCCAGTCTCTGCTATAGATTTTTTAAAAAAGCATTATGGTTATTGTAGTAAGAATACTTGAAAACAGAGACTTTTCTTTTTTTTATTTTTTTTAAAGATTTTTTATTTATTCATGATAGACACATAGAGAGAGAGGTGGAGACACAGGTAGAGGGAGAAGCAGGCTCCATGCAGGGAGCCCGACGTGGGACTCGATCCCGCGACTCCAGGATCGCGCCCTGGGCCAAAGGCAGGCGCCAAACCGCTGAGCCACCCAGGGATCCCCGAGACTTTTCTTCTTAGATTCTATATAGATTTAATAGCTAATCAGATGGGTGAAGAGTGACCATAAGAATTTTTACTTAGAGATGAGAAGTAGAACTCAAGGGGATAAAATACACTTTTGCTAAAGAAGAGTATTGAGCTATTTATGTATTCAGCTGTAGCATGTTAATATGCCAGTTAATCTTTTTCCAATTTCTGGAGAATTGTTTAGTTTAATGATAAAAACAACTGATCATTTTTTATTTGCCTTTTAAAGAAAGCGCCTCTGGAGGTTACGTTTTACTGAATTATTGAACACAGGCTTTATTGAGTAGGTAATAAGGATTTTTAGTTTGTAGTAAATAAAAGCAAACAGCACTTTGAAGACCTAGAAACTAGATTTGGTAGATTATTTTCCATAGCAAGCAAACTGAAATCCTTTATAACGTCGATGCTTGATATATAACTTTACAAGAAAAAAGTTTTCTCTCTACATTTTTCTCTTAGCATCTATTAAGTATCAGAATAACTAGTGAGAACCATAAAATATGTGTATTCATATCTAATAATTCCAACTTTGGAAAGACCAAACAGAAACAACTACCTACAGAAGGATCACCATCACATCTTTATTAGTACCCAGCCCCCCACAAGGTCCTGAAAGAACTATTTTATAGAAATAGGGATATGATTGGGTAAATTTTGAGTCAATAGATATGTGTAGCCATTGAAAAAGTAGTAATTATGAACATCATGTAGAAACATGGAAATGTTTATTATCTATTTTTTAAGAAAGCAAACATGAACACCACATTGTTCTACTCTGATACTAAGTTAGAAAATTGGAAAATGAATGCTCAGGAGCCACAGGCCATAGGTGCATTGGACACTGTTCGTGCCCCATTCTGTAGGTTCCTGAAAATTGTTTCATGTGTGATGATCAGGAGAGATGGGTAAATACAAAAGAGGACTGAGAGTCAGTAGATGGCTCTTATTTGCAGGATTTTCTATATGAGACAACAACTTCAGTTGTTTACATTTGAGCCTTCAGACATTTCCTTAGCATTATGGATAGAATGTTATTGCCTATTCCTTCTCCAAGATTTTACAGTGTTTGATCTTATTATTAACTGAATGACTATGAATCCTAAATGTACTGTGGTTTATTTTCAGGATAAGGGAGATCTTGAAGGCATCTCGAAAATTGCAAGGTGACCCAGATTTGCCAGTGTCTTTTACCCTGGCCATAGTGGAGTCCGATTCCACAATAGTCTATTACAAACTTACTGACGGATTTATGCTGCCAGACCCTCAGGTCAGTTTTGAGGCAACTACCAGTAAACAGTGAAAAAATGGGAAAATTATGACATGATTTTAAGTGTGAATCAAGTCATTCAGCTTCCTTTGCAACATGAAAATTCAAGAAAATAATGACCTGATTTTCACACCTCAGAAACCTGGCTGTTTTGTTTAAAGTAATATGTTCCTGGTTTCCACAAAGATAATTAGACTTTTTTTTTTTTTTTTTTTTTACTCTTTGGAGAATTTCATAGTTTCTCAGGGTGCCTCCTAAAGACCTGATATTATTTGATAATTAACTGAGGTGAAATGTAAAGGCTTTAACAGTTTTAGCCAAAAGAACACTTCTTTAGAAAACGTTAGATTAGTTGACATTTTGACAGGAACCTTTAAATAAGATAAATGTGTTGTGTATAATTTACTTATATACTTTGTTGGTGTATTTGGGATGATTACACTTAAATATCTTTCTGATTTTGCTCTTAAATTCCCTTAATTATTGAGGAAAAAGTCCATCCTGATTTTTTTTTTTTTTTATGTTGCAGAATATTTCCCTTAGAAGATGACACCTGTGCTTCCTGATGCTTACTTTGGTACTGGATTTGAGATCCATCAGCCTGGTTCATCTTTTATCTCAGAGATAGTTAGGGTTGACTTAGCAGGTCCCATTCCATAAGTTTTTCTTCTTGAAGAATGAAACTTTCGCAGATAGAAGAATATTTTTATTCATAAGTATAGGGTAGTTGCTCTAGAACTTTCTTATTTGGAGAGAGTTTAATTATAGTTCTATATAAATTGATGCTTAGGATATGTTCAGAGGGGTGGAACATATGTGTTTCTTCTGTCATTCCTCCCCTCATAGCTGCCTCATTGTTCATTGCTGCCACTGCTAACACATTGTTGAGACTGTCACCTTTCTCTAATTCAACCCTCTCAGTGCCTTTTGGCCACTACAGCTAGTCTGCAGTGGCATTTCATGGACACCTGGAGAGTTTGCTCAGTCTGCTTTTAAATCCCCAATAGAAAGTAAGTTTTCTTTCCATTGGTTTTTATGTGGGATTTACTGTTGATTTTAAATCAAAAGTAAAAATATGCTCATCCAGAGTGTAAAATTACATACATGTCTATACAGGGACCAGAGAA